GACCGCATGGCTGTTATGCCGAGACCTTTGTGCGGTCACTTGGTACAATTTAGTGACCATTGGCTGACCGTTTCTTAACGTTATGGTTTTGATTTTGGGGACTTTTCACTTGTTTTTTGGCACCATTTCACTCTCCTTGTCATGGCCTATATATAGAAGATCAATGTTCAAGGCATTGATATGAGAAAAACATTGAAAAACATTTTTTGAGAATCATTCCAACTGTACAAAACAAGTTGACAAAACGAGTGTTGGCAGAATCTTGACCTTTGATTTCAAATGATTTGAAAAAGTGTTTTTAAAATGAGTGGTGTAGATGTTGTTTTATAAACCAGTTTTACAACTAATTTTGTACAAGTAACATGACTTTTTTATTTTAGAATCTTGACATGGTAGACATCGAATGACACAAATGATTAAAATATGTGTCAACTTTAATAGAAATATACTTAGACTAAAAATATAAATATGATTGATAGTTATGTGACTACAAAACATGGACATAGTATTGACTGGCTGTATAAAAATAAAAGAAATAAAAAAGTAATAAAAAATTTGAAATTTGAAATGAGAAATCGAGTCGTGCTGGACTGTAAAACTTTGGTATAATTCGTCTTTGATGTGGGCCTCTGATGTGAAACCTGCTGCTGGGTTTTTGGCTATTGGAAATTTGTAGGGATCGTTGATGGCAATTTGAGTACTGTTTTATTCCAATTCAGAATCCAGGTTCTTCTTTTTTGTTTGGTACTATGGTGACCTCTTTTACCATTCTATTGAATTCACCGTCACCAATTAAAATTCTCCATCTTTCCATCTTTGTTTCTCAATGGCATCTGTTGCATCCTATTTTCAGGGGGCGGGACCGATGGGCTGGGTTATTGGTTCCAGATATTTCTCATACTCCAACTGAACTTGTTGCCTTTTCTCTTCATCTGATGGTTCAAAATTTTGCTCAAAAGTACAATTCTTGAATTGTGAGGCGAATCGCCATTGAATTATTCAGCATCCCATTTGCTTGCAGTTCATAGTAATAATATTTATTGTAGCTGGGCTGTAGTGAAGTTCACTGTTCACTTCACTATTTTTTGATCTTTTTTATCCAACTTTTTCTGGGATTTTAAAGCATTGATCAGAATTCCGTAATAAACAAGTTTAGATGGCGACTGATGAATCAAGGAGCTCTATGTGGAGTAGAGAACAAGATAGGCAATTTGAGAAAGCGC